TACAATTGGAGACTGCGCCGACACGCTCGCCTGCTTTGTTTCACAGACATGCAACCCTCGGATGCGCATCGCAACCGTAAAAGCCCCTAAACCCAGCAGGGCGTAGGCATCGCCGATGGGACCGTTTCACGAAGGGAGGAAGGCAGGCTCGAACCTCCCCCGAAAAGGCGAGAGGTGAAGATGCCTCGTGCCATTCGCTTGACCGTTGCCTGGTGGGACCGATGCTCTGTGGCATTAATTGCAGCTCGCGAAGCTCGGGCACGTGAGCAGCCACCAGCCATTCTTGAGGGGAGTTGCGAAGCAGGTGTTTTTGTTTGCTTTGTTTTGCGTGCCGACGGTTTTCAGGCTCCTTTGCGAGCGGAAGTGTTGGCAACACAGGGAGCCGAGTTCATGGCAACACGGCATATGGCAAGAACGTGCCATAAAGTCTGAACGACTATGAGCAAACACTGGCATGGCACTCCGAGGAAAAGACTCCCGAGAACAAAAAACACGGCCAAGTGGCAGCCACAGCCGATCCTCCGCAGCACCTCATCTGGCTCCAATTCAAGCTTAGCTTGTGTCCGCTGAGCTTCCTCTGAGATGTGTCTCTAGAGTGTGTTCTGAACCCAAGTCGGCGATCTTTTGTGGCACGAGTCAGCACGCAGTGAAGCACGAAGTTCGACTGGATCAACACCCAAGGCCTAATAAAATCCTGAAGATGAGCTTGCAAAACATGTGAACATAGTGTGATGCAAGTTACGTCAGATGCTTCCTTCCTCGGCCAACCCTAAGCGATCCCTGGTCATGTCGGCCACGTCAATACTTTCTATACGAGCCCGCTCAGCCTCACCTATGCTACTTGTGGTCGATGGCGCCTGCACAATCACTGCAATGTGCAGATTTCTGGGTGGACTACCTGTCCCCTGCAACCAAAACCTTGAAGCCCTGAAGCCCTAAATCCCGAAACCCTGAACCCCTAAACCCTAGACCCAGAGCTGCAGGCAGCTTGAGGAGGGCACAGCCTCCTCCAAAGGATGCACCGAGATCCTGCCACAAAGGGCAAAAGAGTAACGAGACGTGACCTTTGAGTATATGTATATACATACTTATTTATATGTAAATCTACACTATAGTATATTTGTAGATAGATGACACATATGTGTGTATATATATACACACATACATATAGACACATATATCAGCTGGGCTCAGCAGCAAAGCTCTGCAAGCCTTGAGATTTGGCTGAGACCTCGGCGAGGGCTTTGTCCTTTGTCTAATCAAAAACAAAAAAATCCAGAAGCCGTGATTTGGGGCTTGGCTTCCCGGCTCCGCACCTAAGGCATTTAACCCCCTGGATCTGCCAAAACTTTTTCGCGGTTCGCCTTTGAATTCAGAACAGTTCCCGCCAACGAATGAACCAGCTGAGACCCGAGAGTAAATCACGGGGAAAGTGTGCGGTCTGAAAGCCTTGGCTTCGTCCGATTTATGCAGCTTGCCGGAGGTCTGAAGAACCCTGGCCGTGTGTTGATGCTTCATGTTTCTCGTTCCAATACTAGTCCTTACTTGGAGGTTCATAGGTAGTTATAAGTTGGGTGATAAGTCCCCTAATATGGGTCATAAGTATAGTTAGCCTACTTATAAACCTACTTATAACTACCCATCAACCTCCAAGTAGGGTTCCTTGTGCTCATTATACCATGATATACTCCAAAACCCCATTCTCACTAGTAAGGCCCTATATGCCCTTCCCTTCGGCCATGCATTATATATATATATATGCACACGTATCTGTGCATGCATGCCCTCCTTATGTTCACGCGCATTTAGAACATGTGTACAGAATGTAGATACACACATACTTACATGCAGACACACCCCTAAACCCTAACCCCCTAAACCCTATACCCCAAACCAAAACCCTATACCCTAAGCCCCAAACCCCTACACCCTAAACACTAAACCGCACACACACACACACAACGAGAAGCCAGGGCCGGTTCTCGGAGAAGCGACCACCACGTCCTCGCAAGCAGGAACTCGGCTCCGAACCTATCCGAACCTGGCCATCTAAGATGCGAAGAGAGGGATAAGACAGGGGTCTCAATATCTGCTTGCTTACCATAAGGGCCATAGCAATACTATACTAGACCCTATTAAAAGATAGTGCGGATGAAGGAACAGTCCGCATTCCGGAGCCACAAGACAAGTACTGCATGCGACTTGCGGCTGGTCTCAGCCCTTCAAGTTCTGGGGTTGCTCAGGGCAACATGGCTGTACTCAGTTCTCCACGAAAGCGGGAACTGTGAGATTTCGATGGGGGCTCGGCCTGAAGGGAGACCACTCTTTGGGCGACGGCGCCTTCCAAAAGCAATGGTGCAGGCAAGCCAAACGCGCTCAGGACCACACTAGTACCGCACCAACTATAGACCACATCACTGATTGGCAACGACAGCATGGGATCATCGCAGATGCATCATGTGTGGCACTTCTTCTTCTTCAGAGCCTGTCTCCGGAGCTACCCCTAGCCACCACTACGATTGCCACAAGCACCACTATCACCACCACCACCAGCAGCAGTAGCAGCAAAAGCTATGACGCGACGACGACGACGACGACTACTACTACTACTACTATTGCTGCTGCTGCTACTACTACTACTCCTGCTACTGCTACTGCTACTGCTACTACTACTACTACTACTACTACTACTACTACTACTACTACTACTACTCCTACTACTACTACTACTATTATTACTACTATTGCTCCTACTCAGACTACTACTACTACTACTCCTCCTCCTGCTGCTGCTGCTACTACTACTACTACTACTACGACCACTGCTACTACTACTACTACTACTACTACTACTACTACTACTACTACTACTAATACTAATACTACTACTATGGCTACGACCACGACTAAGCCGACGACGACGACTACTACTAGTACTAGTACTAGTACTTCGACTGGTACTGCTGCTGCTGCTGCTCCCACAGCTTCTGCTGCTAGTACAGCGCTTGATTGCTGCTGTCGTTGCGGAGATGGCTCGAGCTTTCCGGTCCAAGGCTGAGCACAACTTAGGCCCGAGCATGTTCTCGTCGCCAAGTCCCACTTCAGCTTTTACGGCTGGAGTACGAGCCTGAAGTTTGCAAGCGTTCACGCTTCACGAAGAACCGCAACTTTGTTGTTATTATGCATTGCTCCGACAGCAAGTTCTGCGGGAGGATGACCAAATCAGGTGATGTCTCGTGCGGGGCCTGGCTCTGGAATGCAAGATTAAGGATCTTGCAGTGACCCTGAATCGCAAACCCTAAGTCCCTAGGTCAAAAACCCCAAACCCCAACAGCCCTAACAGTCCGGGGCCCTGGGCAATCCCCCAGAAGACCCCTGCGCACTGCGACTCTTCGAGGCACTGGCGAAGGCAAGAGCTGGGCTGCCTCCGACAAACTGCTCTTTTTACGTAATGACAAGGAAGTTTCTGAAAACAGGGGACCCTATGGTAGAGTAAATAGTAGGATCCTTAATATCAGAATAGCCCTTAACTAGTCTAATATAGGGACCCGAATTATTGGAATAGGGTTTTAACAATAATAAGGAACCCCAGGATTACTCAGGCCCCTATATTAATGATAACAGTAATCACAATAACGACAATGTTCATCGTAACAACAGGATTGCTGATGACAATGTGTGAGAATACCTGTTCTGCACTCATCTTTTGGATCCTGCGAAGGGTCTGGGCACTGGTTGTACTGGCGTTGTCCGAGGTCGACATACAATCGTATTGTTCTTAGTCTTGGAACAATAACTCCCAGTACCGTCACTGACCCTGTAACACGATCATAGCCTTGTCCTCCTCCTCCTCCTGTACTCAAAGGATCATGGGACTTAGTAACTAGGGTTATAATTAGGGTAACTATACTTATAACCCCAGTTTGGGTACATATAACCTTACTTACTAAGTCCCATGACTCCAAGTAGTACCATAAACCCTAACCCCTATAGATCCCTTTAAGGAACCCTATAGATCCTGTTAAGAACCCTTACCAAGTCCCATGATCCTCCTCTTGTACTCTGATGCTACCGGCTTCGGGCTGCCCTAACCCCAGGGACAGGTCCAAGGTGTGCACAGCACCCTGGACAGTACTCAAACATAAGTGTTCTTAACGGGATCTATAGGGTTCCTTAAAGGGATCTATAGAGTTTAGGGTTTATGGTACTACTTGGAGGATCATGGGACTTAGTAAGTAAGGTATCATTATCATACTGGTACTGCTTGCAGTTCTCTCGCATTCTCTCGAACTCGCCTCGTGCCGGCTGCGCGGCCTGGCTGCGTTTCGGTTCTGAAGCAGATCACCGGAGCCTTCGACTACTTCCAAGTTTGGGACGGGTTAGGGTGTAACTTTAGGACCTAATTTGGGACGTTCAAGTTGGGGTTGGAGGTGCGTGTGTCGAACGGCCAGAGCCTGAACCCAAAATCATGACAGAACCGATGCTGCTTAGGAACCTCTGAAGTCCTCCGCTCGAGGCTGAAAGCCACTGGACGACTTCAGCATCAACACTCGAACTAGCACGTTGTTGTCGGTCGCACCTCTTGGACTCTCGCGCGGTCGCGTAGCTCGTTGAAGTCGTGGTAGCCCTGGGGCCTTGTCTCTTAGCACTGCCCTCCCTGAGCCTATGAAGCTTTGTGCTGAAGCATCTCTGCTGCCTTGACAGCGGATCGTCCGCCGTCTTCGCCATCCACAACGAGGGCAGGACCTTTACGTCCTGGCATCTCGCATGTCAGAGTTTCCTCCCCACCCCCCTCCCTGCCTCCACCCCTTCCTGCTCCCTCCGCTCCGCCAATGACGCCTTAAGGTCGGCCCTCTTTATTTGCGGCTGGACAGAGGCGGGCGATGCCGAGCGTTTACAATTAGAATAGGATTTTGGGGGTCCAGCATACTGTCAGTACAAAGGGACTATACGGGAATGACGTGTTTAGATATTATTCCGACCCTTATATATTAACTCCATCAGGACTCTGCCTCCAGATGATTCCCCACATGCCGCCGCAGCTTGACGGCGCTGTGAATTGGGCCGGAGACCACCCCCTGACAGATCGGTGTAGGGTTTAGGGTCCAGGGTTCAGAGTTTAGGGGGGTGTTTGCCTCTAAAGCGGTTTCTTAGCAGCCTTTTTTCGTGGTTTGGCTCCAATTAGATGTAGGCATAGACAAAGGCAGAAAGCCCAGAACCTTAACTCTACAGCATGTGAGTTTGCGCACATCTTGGCCCGCTCATGGTGTTCGCATGTTGTCTAGGGTTTCAAAGTCGTCTGCCAGACCCAAGACCCCAACATTAAGGCATAAATCCCCAAAGATCCTAAATCTGTAACCCCACACGGCCCTAAACCCTAGAACTAAAGCCCTAAACCCAAACGCCGAACCTGAAAGCCTCAAACCCTAACAAACCCTTAGGGGACCCGAATACACCTGACTTCAAGCTTTGGAGCTCTTGGCCTCTTGCTGCGACAGCGTTCTCTGATCTCCCGGCTTGGGAGCCGGATGAGCGGCCTCTCACAATTGAGGGCGCGGCCAGGCATTCTTGAGGATTGAAGGTTTCAGATTTCGGGCTCAACAAAGCTTAGGGTGGAGGTTGGTCCGAGGCTCTCGTTTTATCTGTGGGCTCCATTGCATGATTGACTTCGTTCGGCGGCTGTAGCTGTCAAACGTCTGGGAGTCTGGGAAGACGGGCCGCCACGGGAATCATCTTTTGCCACCTCACCATTCCGCTTAGTTTTAGCACATCCGCAAATCGGTCCTTCGCCACGAGGTCTTGGTGCGCTTCCTGACATAACATCAGTGCAATACGTGTCGCAAAGCACCGGCTGCGCATCATTTGCATCGAATATCATCGAATCATGCAGTGAAAAGCAAACAGGCTGAGGGTCGTTGATCATACTAAGGCCCGTGCGGCGACTTCCAAGCGGATGTAGATTGAGTCGTGCTCGTCCACACAACTCTCCAGCCTCGTTTCAAAGATCGAGACCCGGAGTGGTTGGTTCATGTCATCGAAAGTCTTGGACATGGCCTGCTGCAGGCCTTTTGGAAGGGCATCCAAGCGCCTTGCTGGCAGAAGTTCGTGCGGCCGAAGGCGCCCTCCCGCTCGTAGACGTGGCCTGAGGCCGTGGGCGGGTGGGGAGCTGTTCTCCGGCTAATTAGTTATGTAGACAAAAGAGACAGAAACTTTGACGGCGAGCCCGAGACATTTGAGAACCCTACAAAACCCGGTGAAGTCCTGTAGCACACTGCACAGGCTCAAACGAACCTCACCATCTCTTGCCTTCAGACGCCTTCATGGGTAGTTACAAGTGGGGTTATAAGTCCCCCAATATGGGCTATAAATGGCTATAAGTATAGTTACCTTACTTATAACCCTACTTATAACTACCCATGAACCTCCAAGTAGAATCAAAGCATGCCGGCTTCTCTGGCTTCTCGGCGCTCCCGACCTGCTTGCAACCTGAGCTCCGCATGCTTCGATGGGTGCTTTGGCTCAGGAGCAGGGTTTGGGGTTTGAAGCTTTAGGGTCCGGGGCGTTAGGGTTCCTGTAGTCAGGCCTGCTGTAGAAGTTGATAGTAGGGCTACTACAAGAGTCAGAGTCATCATGAAGTGTGATGCAGGTTTCTTTCAGGTTTGGCGACTGTCTTGACGGGTTCGGCGTTGGGTGTCGCAGCTGTTCAGTGAATTGTGCTCCAACCTCCTATGCAAGCCTGGTAATATCTGGACTCCTTTTGGATGAGGTGTCGCAGCTGTTCACCTTTTGGATGAACTCGAAGCAAAACACCAACCCCCTAATACCGAAAGCTAAATCCCGAACCAAGCCCTAGATCTAAAACCCTACTCCCGATCCCAAAATCCAAATCTCTAAGCCTGCATACTATGTCAGGTCAACCCTTGGGCGTCCAGGCGTGCATTGAAGAGTGGCCCCTGCCGGTGCCACGAGGAACAGCGAGCAGAATCCTTGGCTCCACTCGGCAAGATAGTTCGTCGAAGACGGCAACAGCCATAAGACTGCCATAAGAGCATGCTCCCTGTTGCACGTCTTAGGGCAGCACTAGCCTCTTCACGATTGAAACCATCACCGATGCCTTTCTCCCTGAGGATCTCATTTAGCTACTATGACGATACGTGCTGCAGGTTGCAGCAAGATTCCGCAAAATGATTGGATGAGTGACTGGCTACCTAGAACGAGGCACGGTGGGTACCATGGCATACAACAACAAAACAAAAACGACGGCAGCAACAGCACCAGCAGCAAGAACAGAAGCGACAAGAAGAAGGTGCAACCTCATGCTGGGTTACCCCTTTCAATGCGCCAATCCCTGCCATTGCCGGAACCGATCCTGCCGAAACTGAGCTGAAGGCCTTCGGTGGCGCCACGGTATCCCGAGGGGTAGAAGACCAAGCGGAGGCCTTCGATGCCGGCAGCCCCAAAGTCCTCTCGCGGCGATGTTCAAAAAACGAAGCATAACACAACACAGCGATGATGAAGATGACAATGTCGAAAGTAAGGAAGAGCGCTCTCATCTGTACTTAGTGACTGGTCTCGCCCTCACTGCATTCTCGATTGTGTCCACGGAGTAACTTACGTGCCGTCCCACGAAGGCCCCAGAGAAGCTTGTTTGCACAGCTTGCCCTGTCCGTGCTGCACATCGCCTCACCCTCAGGAAAGCACTGGCGAAGCAGCGATGCCTCCAGCAACAAAGCGAAGCAGGCTAGAAAGAGATGCGCATGTCTGTGACTGTTCTCTGCATGCCTTTGTTTCTCACATGTAAGGTCTGAGCACCGATATTACCAGAGTGTAAAATTTTAGAATACTCGCGGCAGTACATAGCTCCGCCCAACTACAGTACACCTACCTTTCGACCTGATGCACACAGAGACCCTTGGTCTCCACTCCCGTTCCGAGCTGAGTTGGCAACGTGCTCTATCCTCCACTCAACTGTTCGCACCTTCACAGGGCATGAAGTTGCTAAGTCAAAGTCGCACAGCTCACTTAGCAGACAGTCGCGCTGCAAACTACCTCCTGGCAATTTTGCTTGGGAGCTGGCCATCCGGCACTTCATGGTTTCGACTTGGTCTTTTACCTGTCATGCTAACACACTGCACGGTGCTGTCTGTGTTGAGCACGGTCACATCCCACACATCCCAAATGAGAGAAGCACTCGCTGGCTTGACCAACAAGCCCCCATGAACACGCCAGCAACAGATATGGGGGTTCTTATAATAAGGATCCTACTATTTAGGGTACTCTATTAGGGTCCCCTATTTTCGGAAACCCCCATATATGGCAGTTTCCAACCTGTTCGGAGGCCTTCTAACACACATCCTCTGCTCCAGGCCTCTCTAGTAATTACTCGGGTTCCCTAGTTTTTAACTTTCTGGAACTCCCAGAAATCAAAAACTCAAACAGGCCAGAGGTGGCCAAATCAAGAAGGCGATTGTTGATGTGCATGGAATAGAGCAGCTGGCCTGACACAAGGCGGATCGCAACAGGCAACAGAACGCCAGGTCGTGTCTGATGAAATGAGACCCCTAGCTGAACCCCTGAACCCTAGATCCCTAAACCATAACAAACATTCTGAAGCTGCGAGCAAGCAGACGGAGCGAGTTCGTATCCGTTTCGAAGGCAGCAGCTGGCTAGATCGATGACGTTGCTATCGACATGACAAAGCCCAGTTGCTATGCACCCAACCTTTCCACCCTGAGTTGCTTGAGAGGCCCGAATGTTCTTTCTGCGCCTTCGAGTGGCTCTGGGCCACCGTGGTCACGACCTCACGTTGATGGCGGGCTGCGCAACAGTCATCGCATTCCCGCTCACCCCTCGCTTGGCCAACACATTGTGGCCAAATATGTCGACACTAAGCATGCGCACACTCGGCGCACTGGACATGCCGGCAGCTTTGGTGATTGGAGCTCATGTTGCGGGTCTTGGAGCCCGGCTGGCCGCAACGACTGCGTCCACCTACACGACACGCAGCTATGGGGCCAAAGGCTGAAATCCATGGAATGTCACATCAGCGGTTGCTTTGGGGAGACTAGTTCAATTCAAAATCCACGGAACAGCACAAAAGTAAAGTTCATTGGCGTCATAACGTGCCAATGTGGGCTAAACACCTACAATATCACTGCAAGGACCGTAAGGAGGCAGATAGAACACCAAAATACACAAAGTGCATTGGTCACGTTCCGGCGGATCTGCGGTACTGTTGATGGACAAAATCCTGCATGACCCTAAGGACTCTAAACTATGGGAACTATGGTATATTCCTTATAATGGGTAATAACAGTATGTCTCCGAACTCGGCCTCCGGGACCGGCTTGCCTTCGGCAAGAAGAGATTTCCTGCGAGGATTCTCTCGAGCCCCCTAGCTCAAGGGGAGTTTCCGTTGGATTTTTTCGATTACGTATGCCTGCAGGACAAATGGCAGCGGCAGAAGTGCGCTCATGCTGTGTAGAAGTGTAGCATGCCTGCAAGACCCCGTGAAAGATCCTAAACCCTCACGCACATAAAGCCCTGAACCCTAAACCCCTACCCCCCAACCCCTAAACCTTAACCTGAACCCTGAACTCATGAACCCTAAAACCTGAATCCCTTGACCCTAACACCTAAACCCTCAACGCTGAACCCACCTAAACCCGAAACCCCGAGGCCTTGTACTTACTATTATCGTTACTATCATTACTATGTTGTTTGTATATATATATATCTCTCTCTCTCTCTCTCTCTCTCTCTCTCTCTCTCTCATGAGTCATGAGATAAAGGCGATTACACCGTGGCCAAATTTGCCCAATCCTCCAGTCTGGTGGCTGCGGCACTGCCGGCTGCACGGGGGCTTCGAGCTCCCGCAGGGTCTTGGCACAGGCACGCTTACTAATACATGGGTAGTTCTCAAAATGATGGTCCCTTTTGGTGTACCCTAAATATTAGGTGCCGGGTTATCTTGAGGGCTTACTAAGATATAAACTAGCTTACGCAGTTACTTCATGGAGCCTTGAATGCCTGCCACATCAGGGAAGAGGACACAGAAGAAGAAGAGGACAGGGAGAAAGAAGAAAGCACAGGAGGGCAGTGACCGAGTTGCCGGGACACCTTCGTCAGATCTGGCTGGCGTGCAGGGACATCAGCTGCAAGATGCTGCAAGGATTGGCGATAAGACAAAGGAACTTCTATGGAAACCATTGGATACCCTGAAAGAATCACGTAACGTTACACTCGGAGTAACCCTGCGGAGTAATCCTTAACTAGTATAATATAGGGGGCCATAAATGATTAGAATAAGGTTTAGGGCCGATTAGACTATGGTTACAATAAGGAACCGCCAAAATAGTATAGGTAATTATTAAGGCCCCTACTAGTATCGGCACCTCCCGATCTGACTGGGCCGGTTGGAAAGTGGGACATTTTGCATTGGGTGGCCTGTGATAAATGCTCCACAACAGGCAAGGGAAAGCGAGAGAGAGATAGAGGGAGAGCGACAAGGACAGAGAGAGACAGAGAGAGAGAGAGAGAGAGGGAGGCTCGAAGACCTTCTTGCCAACTACAGTAGCACAAGCATGAGGGGGAGGACGGAAGATCCATCTGACCCGAAATCTGCCTGACCTGCACTGTTCAACGGAGCACCTCCAGCACTTCGCATGACACTCGAAGAGTGTCATCCTGGCTCCGCAGGGCGCCAAACGCAGAGGCATGGCATGAAGATCACTGCTAGGCATCGGCTAGCAGAGCATCTCCTCCTTGCTGATCTGGTCGGTGAAGAAGCACAGACGAGTAGTGCCTGAAACGCAACTGACCATTCCTTTGACAATCCCTCAACAGGTTCTCGCTACTACGTGTACCAGTGGCTGTAGCTCCATTAGCTTGCGGTTCTCCTTGCCATGGTGCAGCCTGCCATCTGACATCCAAGCACTCTAGGTCTGACCACTTGTCACTCTCAATCATCTTGAAGGCTAATTTCCCCAATGCCGCAAGCGTTTTAAAACCGAACGTGAAGTTTGGAATACCCCTAAACCCTAATTTCCCAATGAAGAAGGTGTCAGAGGCTCTGGCCGTAAGGGACGCGTCCATTGAACTTCTTCTCCAAGAGCTGTGACCTGAGCTCTGGACTCGGTCAGAGAAAGCCCCGGGCCCACGAGAAGTTTGGGCAAACTCTGTCAAGGACCTGAGGATTCCGCTTGCTTCCAACCGCCAGCTTGTAAACCAAATTGCAACCCTTGGTCGCCCAGAGGTACACGGCGCAGTCTCCCACCTGCACCGGAATACTGCAAGCACCCCAGTCTGAGCATGTCTGAGCCTCCATGCGGGCTTGCTTTTTATCTCTACTTAAAGGATCATGGGACTTAGTAACTAGGGCTATAGTTAGGGTACTTGTAACTATACTTATAGCCCCAATTAAGGTACTTATAACCTTACTTACTAATATCCCATGATCCTCCAAGTAAGGTAAACGCTTTCTGGCCCTCCAGCCTCCTGGCCCTCCAGAGGAGGATCGACCACCCGGAAGATCTGCGAGCAGGGCAGAACAGCAAGGGCTTTAGACCTCTGACTCTGAGCAACCGGTAGCCAGGCCTGTAGCTCCAACTGCAAACCATGGCAGCCGCCGGCATCGAAGAGGGGAGAGAACCTACCGCCCGAACCAGCAATCGTCACACTTGCTACCAGAAAACCGCCGAACGTGGGACAGGCAGCGCGGCTGTCCGGGTGCATCAGTCGGTGCCCATGCCCACGTTGTTGCATCTGCTACACAGGCTTTCCACTGTTTCAGAGGATATGGAACCGCATCATCCTGCAAGCACGAAAGTATGGTCCGAAATCTGTAAGCGGGTTTCAAAGGCCGAGCCCAGTCACCAGCTCACGTGCGGCTGGATCTTCACGTCGTCCTCAGACATCTTAGCCTACACAGGCCTTCTACCACTGCCCCTACCAGCACCCCTGCGACCACAACCATTACCACTCCTCCTCCTCCTCCTCCTCCTCCTCCTCCTCCTCCTCCTCCTCTTCCTCCTCCTTTTTGTTCCTCTTCTCCTCCTGCTGCTGCGGTTAGGCTCTCGTCCTACTAGTAGTACCGCCACTGTTGTTGATACTACCATTACGGTCGGTGTCACGGTTGGTTCTGCTGGGTCTTAATCAAGTTTTGCTGCAGCTATTCAAAGTTGACGGTCTTTATCGCACGGCTTCAGTTGTGGAGTTGCCAGCTTTGCTATCTCCAGCCATTATTGGTGCCGGTCGTCATCCCCTGAGCTGGATCTTGCACAGCCGTGCACGGAGACTGTCGCCGCCTCAATACTGCACTCTGACTTCCAGCCCTGCTCGAGTTCGAACCCCCTCCCCCCCCTAAAAGAAAAAAAACACAAACAAACAGCCCTGAACCCGCCGAAGTCTGTAGTGTATGGCCCTGGCCAGCAGAGGAGGCCGCAGTTTCTCCGAAGCTTTGCGGAGAACCCAGGTAACCTTCGATCAGGTAAAGCAGCAGCGGACATTGCAGATACCGCTTGACATTGACGAGATGCCTGCAGGGAACCCGGCGCACACGTAGACACCGACATGGAGAGACAGAGAAAGACTGACAGACAGACATATGCATGCACTGACATACCATTATTCCTCTGTTGGACAGAACTCCAGGTGCCATGCTCTGCGGGTGGCCGCATTTTGGACCTCGCAGAGCCCGGCCTCTCGCAGAAGGCTAGGGCGGTTAGGGGTGATATTCGGTTTGGGATACTCTAAGGGTACTACTACTGTGAGGATTTGTGGTGCAAAAACTTGCTTCGCAGGGGTGGGGCAGCAATGCGGTTGGGGAAATATGGCCCGGGTAATGACGGGCTGAAATGCCTCCTTCGGCTTTTATGCGCTCCACAAACAAAATGACTGCAGGTGCGCACTTTTTATGTTGAATCAATTCGTGCCACCTTAACTTCTGGCTCCGAACTCTTTGTGTTTGAGTTGAAGGGCTCAAAGGCCTCCAGGTCGTCTCGAGACATTGAAGGTGCTCGTGAAAAACACAGAGCCACAAGAACCCTGCACCCTAAGCGGCGCGCTCGATCCCATGCAGTCCAGCGGCTACAAAAATCACTAATCAAGGGGCCTTAATAATTAGAACAGGGTTTTGGGGGCCATTATACCATAATTATAAAAAAGGAACCCGCAAAATAGAAGAGGTAATTGTAAAGGCCCCTATACTGTACTCAATACCCTGAGCCACAGAGTCTCGGCCTTCAGGCGGGTGCACGACTCGTCCAGGACCTGGCTGAGAGCGCAGGAGGTGTAAGACTCGAGGCTTTAGAAGGCCTTGTTTGGAGGACCTACACGTAGTCACTGGTGTGGAGTTTAGGCTGTAGGGTTTAGGGTTGACTAAGTAGTGTATTTGCGATTCAGGCTCGCTGCATCTCGACGTGCCGTGGGCTGCATTACTTGGAGGATCGTGGGACTTAGTAAATTTGGTTATAAGTACCTCAATTGGGGTTATAAGCATAGTGACCCTAATGAAAACCCTAGTTACTAAGTCCCATGATCCTTTAAGTAGCTTTCTGCCTCGTCGGCCCCCAAGAGTGAGCAGGAGGCATTGAAGCCCAGTGTTCCATGTCCTTACCACACGGGCAGTTGTAGCCTGTCCGTGCCAAACCTTTTCCGGGTTCGGGATGGTTTCGGGGTGTTTCCTGCACTTTCCAGACTCCAGACCCTCGAACTTACCGAATAAAACATTCACAAACCCAGACTTTCCATCCGAGGGCGAATCAACTGATGCGCTTAAAAGCGACTCTGCTGTACTTTGCAGCGCGGCCATTAGCGATGCCTTCAAAGCGAGGTCATTTCCGATCGACCAAGGAGGCAAGAAATAAGTAATACTGGGGTACCTTATTTCGGGGTCCTTTTCATAACGATCCTGCTTTTTCGGGTACTATACTCGGGTCCCCCATTTTCGGAAACTCCCATATCAAACCGGGGTATCGAACAGACCAGGCGTCTGAGCGAAGCCTGTCGGTGCTCAGGTTGCTGAACTTGTCGGTGTGGGCGCAATTGCAGGAAGCTCACAGCTCTGGTCAGGCAGCGGCTCTGCTTCGGGCCGCTCTGGGTGGACGGGCCGGACGGGAAGATAATGCCGCAAGAACAGCAGCGCAGCCAAGCTAAGCAGACCAGCAACCACGAAGAGCCCGTAACGCAGCAGAACCGCTCCCATCTCACTTTCGAGGGGCACCTCGGGGTCATCTTGTGGGCCTTGGCCGACGCAGTAATCCCAGCGTGGTGTGCTGGCAGAGGCACAGGGCAGCTTGTCATCCACCTCGCACCATCCATACCTGCGAGATCTAAGAGCCTGGAGGCCCGCAGCCCCAAGTCCGAAGCTCCGTTTGTGGCAAGGGGTCGCAAGCCCATCCTGTACCTCATACGTACTATTATTAAGCGGGGGCGAGACTGAATCCGAAGATTGCTTCTCACCTATCGAGTCAACATGTCAATCCTCACTTGCGCTTGCCTCTGTGCGCTGGATCCGTGGCAGCCGTTCCATCGAATGCAATGTCTCTGCAGGACATCGTTGCAGAACTTCCTGGAATTTGGAGGCATGGCCACTTTAAAGATGTGGAGACCATCTTGGCCGACACTCTTTGACATTAGAAGGTGAGAGTGCACCGTTGCAACCGGAACCCAGAACAACATGGAGAGTGCGCCAGACAGACCGCCTTCTAATATAGGGGCCTTAATAACTAGAATAGTTATAACAAGGAACCCCCAAAAATATGGTAAATATTGAGGCCCCTGTAGTACCCGGAAGGCTTCACGGGATGGCGCGAAACGTCCAAAACCCCCAAACTCCAGAAGCAGGCTCTACTTATTTTAAGGGGCCCCCACCCTGTGATAGTGGTATAATAGGAATATAATAGGGCCCTAATATGATCCTTATAGTCACTATCACAGGGTAGGGGCAGCTTCTAACTACTTATCAGAGCCAGCCTCCTGCTGGGATCCTACAATCTACATCACGGCAAGAGATAACTCACAGCTTCTCTGCTGAAGTATGTAATGGTGGGTTTTTGTGGTATACTTGTATAGGGGCTATACGTAAGTATATCACTACTACTTGTCATTACTATTATATACTTTGATGATTTTTCTTATTTATACTGGTATCCTTATTCTTGTATTATCATTATTCTCATCATTATTGGTACTATTATTATTGTTCCTTAAGCTTAAACCCTCCAAAAGCCCTACAGAACTTCATAAAATCCTTGTACGAAAAGAAAACTCCGAGCCAAAGAATCCACTGGCGTTTGCAACTGCAGCCCGTGGAGGTCCGGAACGATCGGCAGCGAGAGCCCAGAATCTGCGAGAAAGGGCACAGGGTGTAGAGCTTACGGATAGGGCTCGTAGGGCTCGTTTGAATGTTTTCGAGCGATGAAAAGTCGGAGCGATGCTTGGTCGCTCAATGCTATTATGTTTGCTAAGGTTTCTTCCAGCTGCCAGGGGTGGAAAATTTTGAGATAGTCCTCGCCTTATACTTACGGGACTGCTGAAGCGAGCCCGGACGGGTTGAACGAAGCCCAGGCCCCATCAGCCCTGTAAGCCCTTCAAGCTCATAATCAAGCCTTTAGCCAGCTATATCTTAAACACCCACCCCCAACCTCACACTTCAAGTAAAAAAACCTATATATATATATAGAGATATGTATGTATATAGATATATGTATGTATGTATGTATGTATGTATGTATATATATATATATATATATATATATATATATGCTACCCCCCCCCCCCTCAAAGATCTATGTTTTTTGCTCGTTGCAGTGCGTTTGCGCAAAGAAACAACAGTTACAGTAGCGCGAAAGCACCACTGAAACCTATTCTAAAACAGCTTACCCGAAAACCCCCCTGCAACCTAATCTAGAACAGTTAGCCCGAAAGCCTTCCTGAAACCCAATCTGAAACAGTTAACCCGAAAGCCCTCTTGAAAGCTACACCCCCAGCAACAAGCCTTTAACAGCATCCACGGGGGCTGTCTGTGTAGGAACTTGTGCTGCGGGGTTTATTTGTTCAAGCATGATTAAAGCCAACGATGCTTAGGATGCTGGGGGTCAACCCCACTTACAACCTGAAGTCCTGTACTGGAAGCCTTTTAATACATTCACAGATACCACAATGTGGCGTTTATTTTTGTTGAAAGAAAACAACTGAAGCGTGAGATAAAGGCGTGTTTTTTTCAACTAAACTTTATACACCACATGAACAACAACACCCATTGACAAGCTACTGCATTAAACGACAGGGAGAAGAGAAGCAACATTAAATTTTTTATCAATACAAGGTAAGGGTACATGCGTTTATTTGTGTTTACGATTGTTTGTTTTGCCTGTTCCCCTTACCTTTAGTTCCTAGTTACTTGTCTACCTTTCCGAGGGAAGGTTTCAAGCTGAAAAAGAAGTAAACAAGGTAAGAAAGAAAAAGGAAACACAAGACAAAGGAAGTGAGTGCACTGAGAGAAGTGCAGACTTTGGTGTTCTCGATGTTTTGTCCTTTTCCCTTCGAACTCCTTCCTGTATGCTTTCATGCAATTGGATTCATTCCGTTCATTTTGTTCTCTCCGTTTATTGCATTGCATTCAGCGAAGTGAAGGATGAACGAAGCGCCACAAGCACAGTTTAATGGATCGGGACAAGACAGCTTTATGCTACATTTCACTACTTTTGCTTGAGCCTTTTGGCTTGGTTTGTTGTTGATTTGGTTTATTGGGTGTTTTAAAGTGCTTCATTCCATTCCGCTACAGAGCACCCAATAGCACAAAGGGAAAAAGAACAAGCCAAGATATGACGTGAGTAATTTGGGTTCTTTTGACTTAGTAGAAGATAAAGAAAGAAGCGACATGCAATGAATGCATGCTTCTATAGAGGTAAGACAGCGCGAATATCACGGAATTCCTAGTTGTTACACAGTTATAGCTGGAGCACCTGATGTTGATTCCGTTGCCTTTGTCTGCTGTCGGAAAATCAGGAAGGAGCCGAAGAAGGAACAACAACAACGACAACAAGAACATACAGGCAAAGGACACAGCATCAGAAGGCAACGGCTAGTGGGGTAACGTAAAGTGCGTGTTTGGGCTTTTGCTTCGTCTAGCTCAATCAAAGCACACATGCTTTGTCTTTGATTAAATACACGTGCAAGAGAACCAGAACCCACCACACATAACATTCACTTCATTCTTAATCTCGCCGTCACCTCTCTGTCTTCATGTCGCTGACACCAGAACGAGAAGGTAATATAGAGTGAAGCGAACCAAGAGATGCTGTGTGTTTCCTGTCGCTTCTGTTTAGTTCCAACTGATTACAAAAGAACACTGTGGAAGCGTGAATTAAATCAAACAAAGCATGAAAGAAGCCAAATAAACACACACACACACAAACACACGTCTCTTCCATTCGTTCTTGTGTTGCGTGTTGAGTTCAACCTAGCAGGCTTCCATTCACTTCATTCATGTCATTGTCTTGGTTGCAGCCAACTACGCTTAAACACAAGAACCACAACTAACTTCTCAGACATCTGCCACTCGTGTCTCAGCGGCTAGCGTGGCAGAAGGTCAGTTCAACGAAAAGAAGCGCAAATAAAGTGCACGGCTTCTTCTTCGGCAAATTTGGCCTTATGTGGAGGCTATATTGAATTTCAATATGGCGGATCCAAGATCCAACATGGCACGGGACTCCTGGGAGAAATCTTGGATTCAGGGATGGCCATATTGAAATATTGAGGCCATATTGAATTTCAATGTGGATCCAAGATCCAAGATCCAAGATTGCGCGGGACTCCTGGAAGGAATCTTGGATTCAGGGACGGCCATATTGAAATATTGAGGCTGCATTGAATTTCAATATGACGGACCCAAGATCCGTGATCCAAGATTCCCGCTCAAGAGCCCTGGGGAATCTTGGATCTTGGATCTTGGATCCGCCATATTGAAACTCAATGTGGCCAGCCTCGGGGCCATATTGAAATATTGGGCCACATTGGGTTTCAATATGGTCGGTCTGTGCCGTCATGAGGTGCTGATCTGAGCTACATGAGTGGAAGGGGGGGTGTGAGCGGTCATGAGGGATCGACCGTGAGTGGAAGGATGGTCAGGAGGAGATGATTGTGAGTGGAAAAGCTGAAAACAGAGTAAATACATAGATCTTTGGGGGGGGGGGGGGTACCATATATATATATATATATATATGTATGTATATATGTAGTTATTGTGGGGAACTCCCTACGAAGGAGCCCAGGTGCCTGCCAGCTGCCTTCTTGGCAGGCCGCGAAGGGAAGTCCCGTGAGCCCCGGGGCGCAGGCCAGGGCCACGATGTCGGCTTCTCCGGAGCCTGGGTTCGTCTTAAGGGATTTAACTTAAGCTTAAGTTACCATAGTAGGGATCTGCAAGGGTTCCTTTGAGGGTATAGGGTTTGAGGCTTCAGGGATCATAATAGAGATCTTTTTCAAATAATATATGGTGTCCTTAGTATGGCACCTTAGACTAGATCCCCAAAGAAGAAGCCAGGAGCCCGTGAGGTCCAACGAATGCGAGCGGTTCACGGAGATGACGTCAGCCCAGGAGGCTCCGTAGCTGTCCTGCAAGATCTTATTCCTGGGCTTTGAAGTAACCAGGGAGAGAAAGCATAGACGTTTGTTTCATAATGCTTCCCTTTAAGTAACGGGTCCCAAAAGAAGTATTAAAGTATGGTACTCCAAAGCCAAGATTCAGATCGGGGCACTGTGCTTTGCAAACGCCCTCAATGCTATACTGCCCATCCTCCCGGCAGGTTGCGAACACCGCACCGCTCCAGCCAGGTGAGCAGTCGTACTTCACTCGCATGCCCTCTGACCAGCCGATGCCTGCAACAGAGTTGTTGTAGTCCGCGATGGCATTGGGCACTGCAGGGGGTGTCTTGCAAAAAGCCAAACATCTTCCATGCAGAACGAAATTCCCGTCGTCCTCACATCTCGCCGTGATGATGCCAACGAAAGGATCGATGCACTGATATCTTAGGGACATACCGGCTTGCCAAGTTCGGTTTTCCAGCTCGCTCGGCTCCAGTAAGGGCTTCGCACGTGCCACAGTTGGGGGATCAGGACAAAGGACCTCAGTGCACTCGCCCGTAAACGTCCAGATTCCCTCCCTGCCACACTTGGCACGGATCTTGCCAACAAAACCGCGAATGCACTCGTAGGAGATCTCCATGTCGCTTGTCCACTCACGGATGACCAGATCTGACTTGTGCAGCCTTGTACAATCGTGCGTTTCAGAGGTTTGGGGGAATCAGAACAGCATGGACAGGATGGTGCCTACCGAGTAAGAACTTCATCACTACGACACTCCACCCAGTTCCACAGCCTCATCGCCAGTGCTTGATTCAACAAAGTGTGTTCTGGAACGGGGCCCGGCCTGGCATGCCCAACTTCTTCTCCGGGTTGTCCACAGCGGATGGGCTTGCAAAGCCCGGTGGGCTCGTATCTGCCTCGGGGCGAACAGCGCAGGCCGGGCGTGCCGTGGAAGCCCGGCTCGCAGTCGAGTGCGGCTTTGCCGCACAAGGGCAGCCAGGCTCCGGCGACGCCCGGCAGCCGATGCTTCTCCACGGTGTCATTCCGGATCTGGAAGTGGAGCTCAGAACCGGCTAGGAAGTGCGCGATGTCCCCTTCGGCATTGCATGTCGCGTAGTACATCGGCGGCTGCGGGCCCTGAACTTCATGGGCGACGGGAATCAGGAACACCACAAATTCATGGCTTGCGAAGCAGCCCAGGCTCCAGAACAGCCCGTAGAACAGCAAGACCCATGTCTCCGGGCCGCAGCTGCGAGTGGAGATGGTGAAATCAACGTTGAACTCCGTGAAACGGAATCGCGACGTTCGTTCGGTGATGGCTTCCTGTTCGTTCATGTCCTGCTGCTGCAGCTGCAACAGGTAGTTCAGCCAGGGCTTTCCATAGGGGTATGCGCAAGTGGCATGAAGGACAGCCAGAACTGGCATCTCTACAGTGCAGAGCAAGCAATGCAACTCGTAGATTCGCTTGTCATCCAAATTCAGGGGGCCATAAGTCAGCACGAGCCATTGAAAGTATGTCACTGACACCACCCCTTTTACCCCCCAAAACTTCCAGAAAGGTCCGATCTTGCTCAGATATTGATCGAAGCTGTGTTCAAAGGTGAACACAAACGCGAGCGCAAAGGAGCACAAAATGAAATTGACTGCAGCCGCCGCCAAGTGGATGTTTTGGTCGTACAGTTCATTGCACGATGTGCACGTTTTGGAAGCCCAGAAGCACAAGGTTGGAGCTCTCGACTGAAGGACCCCGATCATGACTAGCCTCGTCGCCGTGATTATGATTATCATGAACACCCAGGTGCGCACACCCTGCAGGCTCAGGTTTCGAAAGGGCACCGCGAATTCCTGATGTGCAGGGTCTCGTCGGGATTCCACGTCAACGACCGTGACGAACAAGCCAAGCACCGACCACAGCGCCCAAGCCTCCCAAATCTCAGAGCTCTCCATGATGGTGGAGATGATGTGCAAGGAATGGTCGTCTGATTGCAGCGCGAGCTTTCTCACACAGAGGTGCCCAAAGAAGCCGATATTTACCGGAAGCAAAAGCATGTCCAGGAGCCCATCCACCGTGATCTTGGTCACGACATCCTTGTTCCGCACAGAGGAGAAGTGACAAACTTCCACAAAAACCACAGCATAAGTCAGCCATAAGGCCGAGTAGGAGAGCAACACTTCACTCGGCCAGACACCCTGAGAGGCCACAGAGATCACCTGATACTCCCGGCTCAAGAAACCGAGTTGGATAGCCAAGTGGAACCAGTACCAGCGCACTGCGGCATGGGTAAAAAGGAACCTCTTCAGCTGCAAGCACCTGCTTGGGGAGGGCTCCTCTGCCCCCTCCTCCAAGGAAGCCGCACGCTTCCTCCTATAGATGCAGAGGCAGCAGAGGCAGTTCCAGATGCAAGCTGTGCAGCGCTGGCAGCAGTAAACGAAGGGCCGCGAGAAGTAGCGCAGAACCAGGGCGGCTGCACCCAGGCCGAATTGCAGGAGCACAGCATCAACAGAGCTCATGCGTGCCGTCTCCTACGGTATTCGACACAGTGGGTTCTGGGTTTTGCCCCACTATGAACCTTTGATTCTGAATCGTATGGCGCCTTCCTCAAAGAGGAAGCTGCGTCGTGCCTTGTGTACGCCAAACATGTTGAGAATTGCTTCTACTCCAGCATTACTGCCTGCTGCTTTGCGCCGGCGGGTCTCCTGCAACAGCGTGTGGCCACATGCCTCCTTGCGGAGTTCCAGTTTAGGATAGTTTCGGGCTAGAGTTTGAGATTTTGCATGCCAATACACACGACATGACTCTCATTACCTGAGCCTCTAGTCCCTAGACCGTAGATCCCAGGCAGAAGCCATATTTCGGCGTGTTATGCGCAGCCCCAGCCAGCGACGAAGCCCAAACTGGCAAAACCCAAGGTCAAGCTCGAAGGCCCCGCCGTCAGCCGCTGATCAGCCGAAGTGATTGCCTTGCTGCAAGCTGGGTAATAAGCTCCAGTCCGGAAGTGCGTGGGGGATTGATCTCGACTTGGTTGCTGCTCTCCCCACCAGAGCTGTAATGAATGTAGGTGTGGCTGGCTAGCACTCTCCACAGACTGGACCCTGTCTCTCCCTCTTACTTCCACACGTGCGATCCTATGCAGGCAGAACCGGCGGCCGTTCCTTTTGCACTCACTGCCGGCGGCGGTTCGTCTGTGCAACGGGATAGCTCTGATTGCTCAGGATAGAAGACACATATAGCACTTAGCTACGGGCATTGACTTGAGCCAAACGTTGCGTTGGCGGTCACATAGAAAGGTAAAGACGAGGGATGCGTAGCATGCCCCTAGAGTCGAGGGACGCGTAGCGTGCCCCCTTCTCCTGCACTTTACACGGTCTTGCTCACAGCTCTTATAGTGACACCTTAGAACTTGACAAGGCATCGCAGTCCGTTCGCACCCCCCATGAGTTGCGTCTCCGACGCTGCTCACCCGGAAGATGGCACGATAGGACAGAAGAAAATTCCGCCGCAACGTTGACATTGAAAATCAGAGCTTTGTATCCCAATTAGAAACGTTGTGACACTCATCTACGTCAGTAACGATCCCCTGAAATGACAAACGAATCAGGCGTCACCGAAGAAAGAAGCATTCGCGATGGCATTCCACAGGCGAAGCTCAGAGGTCACGAACTGATAGGCGTGGAAGATCAGGCGTTGTCTCGCCACCATCTTCGCGTTGACGTAGGATCGCGTTCCCAGGGCCGGAGGTTCTCCTCTGGATATGGGTTCCTTGGCTTTCCCTTGTCCTTGCCTTTGTTTCGGCCTTTGGCGGCGATGTAGTCGTGGTAGGAATTGGTGTTCCAGCCACCATGTTGCTCGCCTCCGGTTCTTCCACGCCCTTTTGAAGGTCCCTTGGATGAAGAAGCGCTTTCACGTTCCTCCGTAGTGACAGGCGTGTCCAGGATGGAAGTACCACCTGGAGGAAGATAATCAGCGGCCGAAATGTGGTGTAGGGCCTCTGTACGCCTTGTCGTCGGGTTTTGCTGTCTCTCATTCTTGGATCTGTTCAATCTGTCCATAAAGTGCGCAGGCATTTGGATGCTGTGATCCACTAGCAAGGCGATGGTCTGGACTGACTGATCAGAATGAGTTAGCAGAATGCCGACAGGGTCGATGTACAAGAAGTCCACTGGTCCAGTTGGCGTTGGTCGTAGCACCGAGAATTGTTGGTGTCCCGTCACCATTGGGATCACCTCGCATAGGACGTTCAGGCAACAAAAGTGCATTGCCTTTACATCTTCATCCCTGTCGCTCTTCAAGTAAGTAGTAGGGCTGAAGTTGTCCCTGCCAATTCCCATCATGTTGGCTCCGCGTACAAGTAAAGAAAGCATCTGGTTCGTCCGGAAGCGCTTCAAAGTGTAAGTCCCGTTGGGATCATACTGTTTGAGGTTCTCAGGTTCTTTCGCGAAGCGAATGATCTCCTCATCAGTCACATCCCTGCTGACACCTGTTTCCTTGTCCACTGCTGCCAAAGATCCCCACTTTCCAAGCACATCATAGCGTTGGCCAAGCGCGAAACTTTCCCTCATCTGAAACAACGGCATAGTCGCCCACTTTGCGAATCCTGACCAAGCTTTGTAGATGGATCGGCATACCACGTATGCCATGTACGACAGAGCGGTCATGTTCGCATCGATGCAATGAGCATTTCGTTTTCCAGAATAGTAGGATGGCTGCATGGCGGTACGTGCAAGTTGTAGTTCAGGATCGATGTTCAAAGACTGGCCGGTAAGGAAGACGGGACGACGCTCCTGTGCGATTGCTTCCGGAACTGCGTCATCGAAGTCCTCTTCAGGCTCAACGTCCATTTCTTCATCAGGTTCCTGTTCTGGATCGTCTTCCGCAACGACAGATGGTTCTGGGATTTCTTCAGGTTCCGCAACGGTCTCTACCTCCATGGCTTCCTGCTCCTCTTCGGGCGCCTCAGGCACTGCGGCTGCTGCGGCTTCCATTGTCTGAGCAATGAAGTCACTGGGGATCTCCGTAGGAGTATCCCGTTGTGGAGAACCTTGATAATATCCGCTTGAAATGAACTGTGACCAGCAAGACGTGCATCGGGAGAAACATGCTGGAACAATGTTGTAGCATGCCGGGCATACCCTCATTCTCCTTCCATCCTCGTCTCTGCGTAGGTCTTCGGGTCGCCAATTCTTGATGACAAACTTGATTCCCTTGTCCATGTAGTGATGCCGAACCGTGTTCTCCCTGTGGGACTCCAAGACAGTTGTGAGGTCACGAATGATCTGCTCCTTGCTTGTGTCGTGGGGTCCAGGAGGCATCTCGCAAAGCAATTCCATGATCTTGCTTGGCGTTCGGTATCTCTCGAACTCGGGAAGCAACGGTGATGCATTGTAGTCCAACACCAGCTCTTTCTCCAACCTTTCATCGTAGATCTTTTCCACCAGAGCGAAAGAGTGTGTATCTCGAGGATCAGGGACGCAAAACCATACCTCCTTGACGAAATGGAAAGGTATCGTTCGACCAACGATCATGATGCCGCTGTCTGTGATACGACCATCTTCTCGTGCAAGATCTTGCGATGGGACATGAAGAACTGCCAATGGCATATGCTTGGCGTCTCGTCCGTGTACTCGCATCTTGGTCGTTGCGTTCCGGTGATCGAACGGCGCAAACACCCCCCAATAGCTGTGGAGTCTGCCGCCTTGGTTGCCTCGGAATTGGCGCCGATGGTCAAAGTCCCCGTCGGGGTCCTCCGAACCAGGCATGATGCCTTGCGTGACAATGGAATCCAAGTTGCGGCATGCCGTAGCGTGGAATGCACCTCCAAGACGTTGCAAGAGGGTCATAGATGGAGATATTGCAAACCTGTTCTTGTCCAACTGAAGCAAGTTGTTCTGGGGATCTGAATGCGCAGAGTGACCACTCGTAGCCCGAACTGCCCATGGCTTCACCCAGCCGTTGCATTGGTTCAGGTACCTCTGGCCATGTCGGCAATGGTCGTTGCTCTGGATCTCTGCGATCTGGTCCCGAACTGATACCAACATGTTCGAACCTGCTGACCCAAGAACTTCCGTGCCGGGGTCCTTCACTCTCACACCCAGGAACTGCAACCGAATCTTGGCCTTGTTGCGTTTCGTGGCTGCAATCATGTTCCCCTGGAACAATAGCTGAAGTCTTTCATTGTACACTCTCTTCTTCTGTTGGTCATCGGTCCTTGAGACCCCTTCGGTGATGCGTCTGCTTTCATGGGTCCATAGTGGCTCATGCCTCACCAAGTCTTCGATCAGCACCCACCCTCCTTCATCACATTTGATGACACTGTTGAATGCCACCTGGCACCGGTTGTCAAGCCATTCCGAGCCTGGGCGCCTGGCGATTCTGTGGCGCAAGTCAGACTGGATGCAAGATAGCGCCCAATCCGCATTTAACCTGCGCTGACGGGTGATGTTGCGAAGGACAACTTCATTCACGATGTCCCACCGATTGTTGATGAAGCTTGCACCCTTGGTTGGGATCAGGTCGAGAATTCCGCACCGGATTGGCCTTCCGCCGCCGATGGATTCATAGCCTGGATTGGTGTAGCTGTTGGTGTTCTCGTCGTACACATAGCTAGGACGGTCTCCCCGTTGGGGTAGGCGTCGGTCGCGATGGTCCGAAAGCTGTTCAATGATGTCCACCACTCGCTGGCTATTCTCTGGTCCCGAATCCTGCAGTGGTACGCCACAAGCATCATTTAGGCCCCGACGATTCTCCACATCCGTGCAGAGATTATGTTTGTTCTCATAGCGGATCAAGACCACATCACCCCGAACGGCTTCGCCTCCGCGTCGCGGTCGGGCCTTGGCCTTGGGTCGTCGGTCCGAGGATGCAACACTCACATGATCTGTGGCGTCAACGTCCATGGGTTCAGCCTCTTGTGAAGGTACTCGACGTGGATATCGAAGAAGACTTTCCTTGATGATCTGGACGCTTCGAAGTACCAGGTCCCGGGTTGCAGCATTCTCTGTGCAATTTGACAGAGTGTGTAGGTCACTGCCACAAGCAACACAAAATGTGATGCGATCGCTTCCGACTGACATCTCGCCCTGAGCGAGTACGCCAACATAGTCCTGAAGCTGCGTGACAACTCCTTCACGAATTGCATGTCTGGGATCAGGGCCTTCTGCACCCTGCTCTTCTTCAGGTTGCGCATCCACATCCACATCTTGTGCAGGTATTGGTGGAGCAACTGAGAACCCTGGATCGTCCGTGACGTTGTCAGCGGCCTGTGTCTCGTCGGTTCTCGTAATCTCTACAGGGTAGATATCACCATCGACGATCACTGTGAAATCAATCACGAGGTCAGCGGACATGTTGTTGACGATCTCAGCGACTGCTTCATTCTTCTTGGGCGGTGTCCTCTTGCGCGGGGAGTCAACCGTGATCAGCTCGATGGCTTCGGCCGACGCGTAGCGGAAGAATGACCTTTCGATTCCTCTCGCGCACGCATTTGCTCCCTCAAGGCCACCCCAATTCGGAA